AATGCTACATTAGTACATTATCCCTAGTTACATTTACTTTAATATAATTCCTAATTAAAAACTAAATACCCACATACACTCACTATACATGATTCATGCATATGTACATGTCCATACACATTATACATGTACATGTAGAAGATACTCATTGTACTAGAACTACTTTAAAAGGATTGCCTTACATGTATGGATATACCTTTTTACTAGCAGACACTATGATGTCTTCTCCATCAATCTTAACAGTGTAGCGTGCCAAACTATCAATCCCAGGATAATCCTCAATGTCTCCCGTGGTAACGTTGAAACAAGCACCATGCCATGGACACCTTACCCTACCATCACCAAGATAACTGAGAGAGAGGGAGGGGAGAGAAACATATTAGGCACCATTAACATAATGTACATAAGGATGTATGGTTAGTGTCAGTATTAAATGTAAAGTGGAGGTCATACCCTTTCACTAGTGGTGCTCCATAGTGGGTGCATTTGCTGGACACAGCTGTGAAGCAGCCATTTTGATGGACTAGTAAGGCCTTATGGTCACCATCAATCTCTACCTCCTTCATCCTATGAGCAGAGAGAGGGGGGAGGGAGAAGACAAGATGATGAGAATAATGAAGTGTTACTTACTGTCCTTCTGGTAAATCGCTTGTTTTTCCAACATTTTTCTCTACAATATCATTCGAGCTCTCTTCTCTCTTGCTCTCTCCCTCGTCTCCAGTTCCTTGAGGTTTAGGTTCTTCCTCAACTTGAGGAGGAGGAGTATTAGGTGCTTCAGCTGGAGCTGCAGCTGTTGCAGGTTCACTCTCTCCACCTTTTTTAGTCTTTCTCTTCCCACCACTACCAGTACCAGCAGTGCTGCTCTGCTTATTACCCATTATTGTACTAATGGACCTTGTAATCAATATACTACTGAATGTACTACCATTAATTTGTTGACTTTGTGCGGTAGGCCTGGAGTACAGCCCGGGGCTACAGTTTTGATAAGCAGTACTACTATTGTTCTTTGGGCCTCGGGGCCACGTTAAAGAGAATCCACTGCAACTGCTCCTTCTGCTGCACCAGCTGCTGGTCCTCCTAAGACTGAGGAGTAGGAGAAGAGAGGCGGGCGAGGAAGGAAAGAGATCCTTGTTTAAATTGAGCCCAACAAAGCGGATAACAATCATCCTATCACGTTTATATAGGGCGGAGTAACCACACCCACCAGTAGATTCATAACTAATAGGCGTGGTTGTGTTGAAGCTATGTCCCCGCCCATTGTCCTAATGTGTAAGTATTTAGATCAGCAACTATTTTAGTTCATTTTATCATGTCTCCGTCTTTTCTGTCCTGTTTTAGATCATTTTACTATCTCCTTCTCATCCTTCTCTTCCTATCTCCTTCAATATCAGCTCAAGAATGTGAGTTTATCATAGAGAAATGACTTAATATTTAATATTCATTATTATTATTATTATTATTATTATTATTATTTATTAGTATCTGATAAATTGCTCCATTATGAGTTGATTCATAAAAATGATTTCCGTCACAATGCCATACCAGAGAAGCAAGAGGCTCCAACCGATGCTGTCAAACTAGTTCAACAGGTTCACTTCTACGCACTGAACAGGTTAAATATATTATCATTTATTATTATATTTATTATATTTATTTTATGGTAAAAGGGAGCAGTATAGTTCATGTATATACAATAGTTGGTTCTCTGTGGTCATCATTAGTTTATTGATTGTCATCATACAGTGTTATTGTGTTAGCAGACACTTTAAAGCATATTTTAGTGTAATTATGATACACTCTGAGCAGCTGTAAATATATCAATTATAGAAATTTAATATTCAAATTATGATCATTCAGCATCTCTAGTTTACAGTAGCAGTCTGTGTCAGCAAATGTGTAGCCATTCTTGTAGTAGTTGACAAATTACATGAACAGCATGTGTAAATAATTTCATATTTCCTCTCTCCCCCCTCTCTCTTCTCTCTCTCTCTTTATAGAAGTTTTAGTCTCCATTTATCTCCACATCAAAATCTCTTCTCTTCATCCTTTAAAGCAGTTACCATGGATACTAATGGAAACCATAAAACTGTGCCTGTTAGTACAAGAAACTTTCACATTGGACATCTTATAGGTACTACAGAACTAACTAATAATGACATTATTATTATTATTATTATTATTATTATTATTTGTCACACTATTCTCATGTTACTATCATACTTATAGTAAACTGTTTGATCATAATTCAAAGGCTATTTCTCAGAATCAGCTCAAACTTTTATAAGTACATGTATAATTCCTCATACATTGCATGTTTTTATGCTGTTTTTGGCCAAATTTTTTCAAAAATAAAAAGTAGAGAATTCTCCATTTTTATAAATTTTCCTAATACATATTGATGTCCTTATGCTGTGTAGAAAGTCTGAGCTGATTCCAACTTCAATTTTTCAAGTTACAGCCATTTTAAAAAATGAGCCAATTTCTAAAAATTTCCCTGTACTATAGCCCATGGTTTTTTCCGAAAAATGGTTCCAAAATCACCCCCAATTTTTATTACATTTTCTGATACATATTGATGTACTTATGCTATGTAGAAAGTTTGAGCTGACTCTGACTTCAATTTTTCAAGTTACAGCCATTTTAAAAAATGAGCCAATTTCTAAAAATTTCTCTGTACTATTAGTAACGCGGTAGCGTTACTAAGTAGGATTCACCCCCAAACAAAATGGCTGCCACGACTTTTGCAGCCTTGCTATACCAGGAAAACGAGCTCCTATGCTTACCAGACTTCTTAGAGGACCTCATCTTGACCAGAGGACTCCATTGGTACCACTAGCGTGGCTCT